TGATGAAAGACTTCGAACAGGAGAGTCAGTAAAATGATCCGAATTTCCCATCACCTCAATGTCAGGAAGTTTTTCCTACACATTTAATGCCTGTAAAAAGAACTTGTGGTGCTTCATGGATCTATGATTCCTAATTCCTTTATCTTCCTCTTGTATATTTCTTTTTATGATGCTAATAATAAGTGCGGTGACATGACGTGAAGAGTTAGCTGACGGCCGCTGCGCTAATAATAGATAGTGGGGGGAAAAAATCGATTCTGTTCAGTATGGAGATATTTTGCACACGCAAATACGTATTGCAATATTTAGGCTAATTACTAATAATTATTTTATTAGTATAATAATATACTAATAATATATTATTACACCATATTATACACGCACTATCAATACTGTAGCGCAAAGTATTGCAATATTTAGGCTAATTATAAAATGATTATACTAATAATTATATTATAAGTATAATAATATACAAATAATTATGTCATTAGTATAATAATATACTAATAATATATATTACCCACGGCTATTGCCACTGAGTAGCTGACGGATGTATTCCGTCAAAATGGCTGACGCGCGGCTAGGGGTCACGTGACTGGGAGATCCCTATACGTATTGGACCATCCAGCTACGTCATCGTGCTACAGGCTGCAGCGAGGACCTCTTGTGAGATAAGCACATTGATAATGTTAATTCTATTAATCAGGATGATAAGTTTCTCTGTGATTTACCAATTACTGTTGATGAGGTTAAAGTCGCAATTTCGCATCTAAAATGTAACAAGTCGCCTGGTAACGATGGGATAGCGGCTGAATTTTATAAGTCTTACTCTGAGGTTATATCCCCTTTTCTCCTTGAAGTGTATATAGAGAGCTTAAACTGTTCTGAGCTTACAACAAGTATGAAGCAAGGTGTCATTTGCTTAATACCTAAACCTAAAAAGGACTCACTTTTATTAGATAACTGGAGACCCATCAGTCTCCTTAATAATGATTACAAATTGTTTGCCCTTATTTTCTCAAGTCGTTTCAAGTCGATTTTAAACTCCATCATTGATGAAAATCAGTCAGGTTTTATGGAAGGCCGTCATATTTTCAATAATATTAGGCTTGTCTTCGACCTTATTGATTACGCTGATCTGATTGAGGATGACAGTTTAATTCTTTTTTTGGACTTTTTCAAGGCCTTTGACACTATTGAGCATCCTTTCATTTTTTTTTGTTTAGAGCGTTTTGGTTTCGGGCCCTATTTGTGTAATGCCATGAAAACGCTGTATGCGGGAGGAAACAGCTCTGTGAAATTAGGCCATGGCACAACCCAGAGATTTCTTCTGGAAAGAGGAATTCGGCAGGGCTGTCCAGTGTCTGTATATCTTTTTCTTATAGTAGCGCAGACTTTCTGTCATCTTATTAAGGATAGTAAGATAGAAGGAATTCGTATTGCCGGTAGAACTATCTTAATTAGTCAACTAGCTGATGACACAGCCTTATTTTTAAAAAACTCCAGTCAGGTTCATCAGGCGATTAAAAGTATTCGGTTGTTTTCTAATGCCTCAGGTCTTCACCTTAATATTAAAAAATGTGAAATTTTAGCCTTGAAAAGCTCCCCTCTTGTACCTATGGATGGTATCCCTGTTAAAGAAGCTGTTAATTATTTGGGTGTTGTTGTCTCGAAGAGTGAGCAAGATAGAGTTTCTCTTAATTTTAATCCTGCTCTTGAAAAGATTAAAAGCAAATTTAATCTCTGGTTATTAAGGGACTTGTCCCTCAGAGGTAGAGTCCTTCTGTCAAAAGCGGAAGGGATTTCCAGATTAACCTATATTGCTTCATCTATACATTTAGACAATAAGACTATCAAAACTATTGATCAGATTTTGTTTAATTTTCTTTGGAAGAATCGTGTGCACTACATCCGTAAATCTGTTATTTTAAATTCACTTAAAAGTGGCGGACTGGATTTTTTAGATTTTGATACTTTAAATAATACCTTCAAAATTAATTGGTTAAAATTTTGTTTGAATAAACCTTCTCTGTGGAATTTTATTCCTAATTTTATTTTTGATCAACTTGGGGGCCTTTCTTTTTTACTGATGTGTGATTATAAAATTGACAAATTGCCGGTGAAACTCTCTGCCTTTCATGCTCAAGCTTTATTGGCCTGGAAGCTGATCTACAAGCACAACTTCTCTCCTCAGCGTTGTTTTATCTGGAATAACCGTTGTATTTTGTATAAACACAAAAGTATTTTTCTAAAATGTTGGTTTGAAAAGGGCATTGTTTTAGTTTGTCATTTGTTTAACTCTCAAGGATACCTTATGACTTATGATGAGTTTCTTTTGCACTTTAATTTTCCTGTGACTCCCAAGGAGTTTGCTCTTGTATTTTCTGCAATCAGCTCTGGATTAATATCTTTATGTAGAGGTGTCTTGTCTTTAGTTGATGTGCCCATAATTAACCCAACTGACACAGTATGTGGTAAAATTTTGTTTTTTACAGTCCAAAAGCAGCAACAAGTCTATTCGTAATTTATTTTTGAAGGAGGTTGTTACCAAATGTTGCTCTATTACTTATTGGGCTAAATTTGTTAATGGCGTTGATTGGGAACGTGTTTGGTTGTTACCTCATAAATTTTTTGTTACAAATAAGGTCAAAGAAATCTCCTTCAGAATATTGCACAAATTCTACCCTGTCAAACATTTCCTTAGTAGGTTTAGGAAAGACATTGATGTGAGTTGCTCTTTCTGCTCTTTGCACTTGGAAACAGTACCCCATATTTTCTGGCATTGTAGTCATGTGAAAAGATTATGGTATGAGGTGTCTATGTTTATTAAGGTTAAAGTGCTTTTTAATTTTGTTTTGCATTTTGAAAATGTAATTTTTGGTTATTTAAAGTATGATAACAGTGTGATTAAGGAGGCTTTTGTAATTAATTTGATGATTGTATTAGTCAAATTTTACATCCATAAGTGTAAGTTTTCTAACAAAAAGCCCCTTTTCTCTGTATTTCTTATAGAATTCAAAAAATATTTTTCTACTATTCAATCTAGTACTAATGCAAAAGCTAACAAGACTGTGCATTTGTGTACTGTCTTCAAAATCTTTGATTGATACGAGGTCTTGTCCTTTTTTCTTTCTTTATTTTTCTTTATTTTCTTTATTTTATTTTACTTTTTTTTTGTATCTCCCCTGGCTTTAAAGTGTATCTTGTATTGTATTGTCTTGTTTAAGCAATAAAAAAAAAAAAAAAAAAAAAAAACTCTTGTGAGAAGCTGTGACCAGTGAACGGAGTGTTGCTGAATCTTTGACACGTGAAGCTGTATCTAGCGGGAAGAGTGTTATTGGAATCGTGTCCAGTGAAGCTGTATCCTGCGGGAACTATTGGAATTGTGTCCAGTGAAGCTGTGTCCAGCGGGAAGAGAATTATTGTCTACTGTTTATTTTGCCTTTTTTTATATTCTGAGTTAACTTTGTTTGAGCGTGATTACGCGCTGAAAAGGGGACGCCTCTTAAATAAAAGTGCACGAGTCCCAGTATTCGCCGACCCCGTGTCTCCTTCCATCATCCAAACACAAACGAACCTGTTATTTATCACAAGACCTATTATCACTAGATAATTGGAGACCTATCACCTTAATTAATAATGACAGGAAAAAAATCAGGATTATAATTTATTATTGATGAGAGACAGTCAGGTTTTATAAATGGAAGACACATTTGTAATAATATTAGACTTGTATTAGATCTTATATATTATAGTGAAATTATCAATGAAAATACTGGTTTTATTCTGTTTCTTGATTTTTCAATACAATCGAACATGACTTTATTTTAAAAAGCCATTACATTTTATGGTTTTGGGGACACATTTCAAAAAATTGTCACACTTGTGTTCTGTTTAGTTTGTTTTCATTGGACTTGTCTGTCTGTCTTCACATCACGAGTTGGCTTCACAGTTAATTATCTGTTAATCATCCCCTGTGTCTAGTTAATCATCATCTGTTTCACTTGTGTTCTGTTAATCAGTGTTCATCTGTGTTTGTTTTTAAGTTTCTTCAGTTCAGTCAGTCTTTGTCCGTTGTATTTAGTGTGTGTGAACCTTCTGCAACTTTGAGTTATATCGTTTGTAAAACGTTTGCATTGGAACTTCTGACTCTTCGTCTTCTTCTGCACTACACAGTGACAATAATAAGATTAATAGCTCTGTAAAATTGGTATAATTTTTTTTTCAGGGTCCTATTAGTCATTGCTTTTTTTGTTGGTTACACATTTTGGCCATTCATATTAAGAAAGATATTTTTCGTGGTATCAGAATAGAAGATATAGAAATTAAATGCACACAATTAGCCGATGACACTACCCTTTCTTAAGAGACTATACTGAAGTTGAAAAAGCAATTATGTGTCTGCAGTCATTTTCATCTGTATCTGGTCTTTCCATGAATATTAATAAATGTGAGCTTATGGCTCTAGGTTCCTGTAACTTTGCAGCAGTAGGCTATGCAATATTCCCATGAAAGGAGTTGTTAAATATTTAGGTATCAAGATATCTAAAAGTAAATAAGTCAGGAAGGAGTTAAACTTTACCCCTATCATTCATTAATTTTGAAAATAAACTGAATTCTTGGTTGATGAGAGATCTCTTTAGCTGGTCGTGTGTTAATGGTTAAAGCTGAGGGTTTATCTAGGTTGGTATATACTGCTCAAGTGTTAGATGTACCCCCCTCGTTAATTAAAATGATAGACACCAAACTTTAAACATGTATTTGGAAGAACAAATCACACTATATTAAAAAAGAAAATATTTGTAAGTCAAAAACTGAAGGAGTATTTAATGTTTTATATTTTTGGATCTCTAACATGAAATTCAAATAAAATGACTCCAAAAGAAAACAATATATAAGCAAAGGTGTTGCAGAGTTCATATTAAAATGTGATTATTATCAACAAAATACGGATTAAAATTCCACGTTTCCACAACAAACACGCGCATTGTTTTCTATACCTGGATCCTGGAGAAAAATCTTCATCTCTAACGTTAGATGTTTGTGTGTCATCCATGATGAATCTGAACACTGAACAGTTACAGAATCTGGTCTCGAACACCGACTCTGGATAGAAATGACAAAAACAACAATTCAGTTCAACGGGTCAAAAACAGGATCACGAGACGGCGACGTACACTCAAACACACATTGTTAACACAAATGTTAAAATAAACCACAGACAACACGAAAAAATAATGAAACCACATTCAGTTGTTTTAAAGTAAAAAATCTAACATCATACCTAAACCTAACACGAAGAACTAACCTTCGGAGAAAAGATTCCAGAAGTCGCACGAAAGCGTCAGACCTATTATTCTCCAGAGAATACAGATGCTTTTTTCACCTTTCAAGTAAGTTAACTACACGGTCAATTCATTACAAAGGTTCCCATTACACACACTGATACTCTTTATTTTAAATAATCGATTCTGGTTGTTAAAATGGCGAACATGAACTCTGAACATTACTTTTGCCTTGTCCAAATAGCCCATACGGGGAGGCTGCAGACCTGGAGCCCATATACGCCCCTGGCAGTTTTACGCCCCTGTTGTTCCTGATGCGTCCAGTAGGGGGATATACTGCGAAATGACATCAATAAACTTGCACATTAAAAACCGTCCCGTCCATAGACTTTGACCAATTTTGTGTTTTTGTTCATTTAAATATAAACGTTATAGTGTAGATCTGCACTACGGATTAACATATCTGTAGATATTCAGTTGGTCTTCGCTTCACTCTCTTCACTCAGCCTACAGAAGACTATTTGTTTTTGTGAAGTAAAAAATGTATTACATATAGTTGGATCAGATGACAAGTAGGCCTAATGATATATGACCTACTGATGAATAGTGATATTCACCGTAGGTTACAGGAGACTGAGTGAAATATGTTGTTGTGAATTTATATAAAGTTACAATAGATATTAACCAGAGTGCCAAATCGGATCCTCGAGGAAATATCTGCTGTACTATTCTCTTATTGTCCTACATAGCATTTTATGAAGACAAACACTACTGATCTCTTTCTAAAATTCCAAGGGCCATTTAGAAGAAAGAGACAATATTGTTGTTTATTAAAAAATAATGTATTAACCATAGGTATTAACACAGAAATTAACACTTGGTAAACAGGAATGAGTGTCCATGTGTGTGTGCATGAGAGAGAGTGTACATGACTGTGTGCATACGATTTATGTGTTAAAGTGATGTAGCCTACTATGTGCTTGTAGTAGCAGCCTACTTCACAGCGAAGGAGGTGGAAAGAGAAAGAAGGAGAGAGATGAGAAGAGAGAGGAAGGGAGAAAGACATTTTGTATACATTTTTAGCTCATGTAATAATGTTGTATTCTAGTTTTACGGCCAATAGGGCGTCTATGTATTTATTATGTCTATGATTTGAGTAGGGGTACAGCGACACGCATTGAGGTATGTTAAATAATCTGCTAAAGTTATTGTTGTTTAGCAATGATGCAACATTTATTATTCATAAACGATTAGCTAGACAAAGCTAGGGTATGTAGATACCAATTCATTTCTATATATCAATGGAAGGGTCTATGTCGGTTTATTTCAAGAGAGACAAATGTTCTTGCAAGACATTGTGTGGCTTGGACACTCATTCATGTCCTGTTACAATTTTTTTTCTAAAAAAATAAAGTTAAACCACTGTTTTTATCCGTTTTGTTTGGTCCATCACTTATACAATTGTTAAATAAATTAAATTATTAAAACAATTGATAAATTTGAAGCTTCAGTCTTCTTTCAAATAACAAAAATGGCTTTGTGTTTTTATTAAAATACACCTTGCCTTATATATTTTTCTCACAAATATCAATTATTTGAACATATAACCAACCATTTCTTTAAAATAAACACTTTCTTGTGGGGAAAACAAAGGAATGAATTTGACATGCTTTTAAACATGCTTTTTAAATGGCACATGAGTTTCGGTAACAGGACTGAGAAAACCTAGAAAACATGCATCCATCTTCTGCTTAGACACCTTATTAAATTAAGTTGCCTGAGATTGACCAATACACATTTTGAATAGTTAAATATGTGTATTAGATTCAGTGTTGAAAAAAAGATTTAAAAAAATAAAAAGTTTAATTTTGAAGTTACAACAAGCTAATTTCACTCATTCGGTGGAACAGCTCGGCTGTTCTGGAAATATTCACCCGATTGTACACCAGGGATTAATATACGTCCATGGATATAAAGTTATTTTTGCAGCAGTTTTCAAGACTCACCTTTGTCATTACATGACTTTGATTAACCATAATACTGACATTACTTCAAAAAGATTTACTCATCCCAGACAGATCACTCACTTTCTCTCTTTCTTCAATTTGATAAATATGTTTTTGAAACCCCATTTCTTTGTTTCCTCAAAAAAGATGAAATATTTCTATCTTTATTTAGCCCATCTTTTTGTTCATTTTTGATTTTAATTTGGTAGTTAAAGGGTTAGTTCACCCAAAAATGAAAATTATGTCATTAATGACTCACCCTCATGTCGTTCCAAGCCCGTAAGACCTCCGTTCATCTTCGGAACACAGTTTAAGATATTTTAGATTTAGTCCGAGAGTTTTCTGGCCCTCCATTGAACATGTATGTACGGTACTGTCCTTGTCCAGAAAGGAAATAAAGACATCATCAAAGTAGTCCATGTGACATCAGTGGGTTAGTTCGAATGTTTTGAAGCATCGAAAATACATTTTGGTCCAAAAATAACAAAAACGACGACTTTATTCAGCATTGTATTGTCTTCCGGTTCTGTTGTGGATCCGCGTTCAGTGACGCTGCTGACGTAAGACGCTGCTGACGTGTATCTGGTGCGTCCGTGTATTCGGGTTCAAATAAATATGGCTGGGCAAAAAAATGCAAGTCTTCCTCTGTGTCGAAATCCTTAGACATGTTTGTGAAGATTGTTTTGTTGACAGTGTGTGTCTCCCTCAGACTGTAAACGAAGCTCGGGCGCACCAGATGACACGTCAGCAGCGTCTTACGTCAGCAGCGCCACTGAACGCGGATCAACAACAGAACCGGAATACACACACACACACCAGACACACGTCAGCAGCGTCTTACGTCTGCGGCGGCACTGAACGCGGATCCACAACAGAACCAGAATACACACACACACACACACACACACACACACACCAGACACACGTCAGCAGCGTCTTACGTCAGCAGCGCCACTGAACGCGGATCAACAACAGAACCGGAAGACAATACAATGATGAATAAAGTCCTAGTTTTGTTATTTTTGGACCAAAATGTATTTTCGATGCTTCAAAACATTCTAACTAACCCACTGATGTCACATGGACTACTTTGATGATGTCTTTATTTCCTTTCCGGACAAGGACAGTACCGTACATACATGTTCAATGGAGGGCCAGAAAACTCTCGGACTAAATCTAAAATATCTTAAACTGTGTTCCGAAGATGAACGGAGGTCTTACGGGCTTGGAACGACATGAGGGTGAGTCATTAATGACATAATTTTCATTTTTGAGTGAACTAACCTTTTAAGTGTTTAACTTCAAAAATAAAGTTCAACAATTGTCAGTGCACAGATTTCTCACCAATTATTTATGTACTTCTTCGTTCAGATCTTAACATCAAGGCTTTTCAATTAAAGTAAATTGTAGAATAAACGAAAGAATAAAAATACATAAATGTTACAATAAAGTAATGCAATACTTTTGCCACTCACCAAAATGATAGAAAAACATCTCTACAAATCTTGATATTTCATAGCAACTGTATTTGAACAATAAAGTATAAACAACTTTATTTGAACAATAACTTAAAAACAAATGCATTCTCAGAATCTCAGATTATTTACTTGAGCAATGATTGCGGCTCCTCGCCGCCATGAATATGTGAGTGTTTGTTTAAGTGGCTTTTTTGTGTGAAACTCCTTCCACACTGCGAGCAGCTGAACAGTTTTTCTCCAGTGTGAATTTTTTGGTGACTTTTCAAATGACTCGCTGCTATAAAGCTCTTCCCGCACTCGAAACACATGTGATCCCGTACAGCATCATGTACTTTTTGGTGCTGTTTCAAATTGTCCGGTCGTGAAAAACTCTTTTTACACAAAGAGCACTTATGGAGCCTCTCATCCGCATGAACCATCAGGTGTCTTTTTAGAATTGATGACGATGTAAATGTCTTCCCACACTGATCACAATGATAAGGTTTTTCTCCAGAGTGACGTCGCATATGATAGCGGAGACCTGACAGCTGTATGAAGCTCTTCCCACACTGATGACACGTGTGCGGCTTCTCTCCAGTGTGAATCCTCATGTGTTTGTTCAGGTGGACTTTCACTTTGAATCCATTTCCACACTGAGTGCATGTGAACGGTCTTTCTTCAGAGTGACTTTTCAGATGCCTTTTGAGACGTTCAAGTATGCTGAAGGTCTTGCCACACTCCACACAAGTATGACTTTTCACAGAATGGATCTTCTGGTGCGTTTTGCAATTGGCCAGCCGTGAAAAACTCTTTCCACACACTGGACACAAGTACGGCCTCTCAACTGCGTGAACTGTCAGGTGTTTGTCGAAATATGATGAGGATCTGAACTTCTTGTCACACTGATCACAGCTGAATGGTTTTTCACGACAGCGCTGATGACGACTGAGATTAATCTTTTGTGAAAAACTCTTTCCACACTGAAGACATGCGTGAGGTTTCTCTCCAGTGTGGATTCTTATGTGTCTGTTAAGGTGGCCTTTTAGCATGAAACTCTTTCCACACTGAGGACACGTGTGAAGCTTCTCGCCAGTATGAATTAGTTGGTGCTTTTTAAAGCTTCCTTTTAGTGTGAAACTCTTTCCACACTCAGAGCAAGTGAAAGACTTGTTGGTCTTTGTAGTTCTTCTGCTTTGTGATAAATTCTTTTTTGTGACATTATTACGCTTTTTCGCTTCATTCAGCGCTTGACTTTGCACTTGGACGTCCATTTGTTCTAAAATAAACACATTAGGTATTTAGATTCAGTTAAAACGATCAAGAGAAAGCAACAGAGGTCAAGTATTTGTTTGTTGGCATCAAGTTATCAGGTCTACCATTCCCTGTTAATACAATCAAATCTGGATATCAACTGTGATACAACGGTGACCTGTGAACCAGAACTACAGACAGGACAATAACATCAACACTGTAAACATAAAATTTCAATTGCAGCCATAACTTTTCATTTTAGAGCATCACTAATACTTTATATGTATTGTCTGTATTATTTAATTATTCCAATATGCACTGCATGAAACGTTTGCTACTGCTCTGTTTTTAACTCGCACCTTGCACTTGTTCAGTAACTTATGCTAGTCAAATATAGAAAAATTATTTAAATATATATTTTTGATAGACCTCTGTGGTCTGGTTATTCAATCAGTGTGTGGACAGGACAGCAGGAAAGCCTCTCTCAAGGCATAAAACACTAGAATGGTCCGTATATCAGAACATGACGTGAAAACGAGACTAGCGGGCTTTTGACACAGTGGCACGTGATACTGTGAAATTCACCAACCGAATAGAAAATCTACCTGCATTTGGCGTCTTGGTTTTTCTGTGAATCATCAAACATCTCCTTCATATCTCTGTCCACCATCCGTCGATGCTCCACAATTCAAACTCAGCCTCGTCGTCGTCAGCGACACGATCATTTTCAGCTTGAACTGGTCAAACTCTCTCAGCACTGCACTTGTTTTTTTTTTTAGATGTGGAATGACTTTCTTGAAAAAAAAAAAAAAATCCGTACGAAGTTGTTTTGCAAAAAGAAATAAAGCTTTCCTTTTACAGATCTGTCTTAGTCCCCTGGCATTTAAAGAAACAATAGATAAAGACAAAGTTATTAAAGTACGTGAACGAGGAATAAACTAGAAAGTAAACAATAACCAAATTAGAGGTGTATTACCGAATAAGGGGACCGAGCGCTGCTTTATATTAGAAATATAACGGTATAAAGAATAAAGTAAATAGTTCCGGCCAGCTTAAAAAAACAACAACAAAAAAATACAGCGTTCAGCTGCCTCGGTTATTAAATGGCCTTAAAAACAGAACATATAGTAGAAAAGGCAGCGAATTTGTAAAATAAAGTACCTTTTCAAAGTGCAGTACAACAAAAAACTATAACCTTACAATAACTCTGAATGTAGTGCAAATCAAACCAGTAAGTGTTCTTGTGTTAACATGCAGCAGGCGACTGTTGCTTAGGTGGACAGTGAGACTTCTGATCCGTTGATAAAACCGCGACCACTGTAGCAACATTGAGATTTGCCTTAATTAGCTCAAATTATTTATAGGGAATTTTAATAATTAATCATGAAATATGATTAATATATCTTGCATGTTGCAGTTAAATTATCGAAATTGAAAATAGATCGATCGTATATATGAATGATAAATCATAACGAATTATAATTCCTCATTCATATATTAATGGTCTCATTACAGATCGATTATATGAGATAACTTTAAGGGAATTAACTTAGTTATCAAACAATCGGTTTGTCCAGCAAACAGCCGTAAGATTAACTTACCAACTTCTCAACGAAGTTATCCCTTTTTATAAACTCCAAGAAATATCAATGTTCCGGCCGTGAACATTAATTTTTCTGTGTTTATAAAATTTAGGTTACTGAAATAAAGCTAACTGTAAAGCTTTGTAGCTAGACCAATCATTTCATTGACTTGTAAATTATGAGCTTTTTTAGACAGAAAGCAATCAAGAATATAATGGCTTTAATAATGGGACTAATAATACATTGAACTACGATTCACACAGAATATATATATATATATAGGCCTATATGTACAGTATACACCGGAAACAAACAAAACGAAAAACATTACAAACACGAAATAAATTGGATGAGAGAGGAAGATAACAATGAGGGAGAGAGAGAGAGAGAGAGAGAGAGAGAGAGAGAGAGAGAGAGAGAGAGAGAGAGAGAGAGAGAGAGAGAGAGAGAGAGAGAGAGAGCTGGGAAGAGAGAGAGAGGGAGAGATTGAGGGAGAGAGAGATTGAGAGTATTCATCACAGACACAGAACCTTTGAGACGACAAGAATCAACAGATCTTAAAGCATTTAAATCGATAGGAATTACGATACTTGCATGATCTTTCTCGTGGGCTGAGAACGCATGTGTGTGTGTCTCTGTCCTCGTGTCACGCGTTCACGTGGTCTTTCAGAGCAGGCAAAGCGTGTTAGTTTGAATGTCCTTTGAGGTGCAGTAGACGGTGGGCCGAGGGGGGATTTCGTGTTTTCAGACGATCTCTGGGGATGGATAACCCAGTTTTTTATATATAACCACTACACTTTTCAACAAAGCAAATAAAAATTGTTGCCACTCACATACTTTGCACATTACTATAATATCGGTAACTTTGTCCAGGTTATTTTCCCGGCGAATAGAGCAGGCGGCTACGTGGTGGGTCCGACATGCGTGACGTATTTGTTGCCTTCATCCAATAGCGTGCGTGGGAAAGTGTCGGTGTTGGTGACGCGTTTGTCAACACACGGGCGCGCTGATATGAAGTTGCTGTCTGACCTACAGTCTATGCTCTGTGCACATCTTTTCGAGAAGTGATTTTAGCCCAGGAAAGATTGAACTTGTTAACTAATTTTGCCCACTTATGCTACGTATTCAGTTTGACACAAAATGTGAATGTAGAGGTAACGTTATGCATTGTCACTGTTTTTATTTTATGCAACCATCTTTTGTCATACGATGTCCTGTCATTTCGTTGTAATCTTTAATAAATATACCGTTCTGATTTCACACATTTAATCCATGGTATTGCTTGGAAACACAACATCATGAAAACCATAGACATCTACAGCAGGATACAACGTTAAAATAGCCTAAATATAAAGTTATGAAACTTTACTTTGCCCTCAGCCAAAACGATTTGCCAAGGAACAAATTATAGATTAATGAGACCAAAGATTACCTGTTAGATATACACAAGTCGAATTATATATCATGTTTAACCACTAGACATCAGAGCCAGCGGCAAACGTCAGAGGCACTATAGCCGAGGTAAGGCTGTTCCAGGTGGGGTACATGAGCGCCCGGATCTCTCACTCCAAAAACGTCAGATAAAATTTTTAAATAGGCTCTATCTTTACGAATAAACCATAGATTTGAGCTTAAGACAACTACATTGTCGACTGAAAAACTATTAAAACTACATTTCGTGACACAATAACAGTAGTATTTTGAAATTTCTAATTATATAATGGCCAAATACAACCAGAAACAAATTTTCAGTCTTGCTTGTGAAAAGTAATTGCTCGAGACCTGTTTTCAATTGTGTGGCGATTTGTACAGCCCCAAGCAGCACACGAAACACATTTTTCTCAATTCCCGGTATGAAATCTATGGGAAAGTTGCCCTCCGCAATATGGCCGCACCGTTGACGTACGCTCCAGCGGGCAATTGGGCGCTAATGTATTGATTATGTCTATGATAAAAACGCACATTTCTCTTTTTCCCGCACATTTTTACTATGGATGAAATCGCAAAAACATGTAGTGCTGCATGCATATATGTGAGGGAAATAGACCCACCATTCCCTTCACAGACATAAGTTGGGAGAAATTTATTAAATCTGTGTTTCTGTGGAAAGACCTTGAATGCAGAGAAAGTATTATAGCAGAAGAGGCAGTACAGGCATACAAATTACAAAGCCAGGAACCTACAAACCAGTTAGTCAAACCAGCTAACATTGGCTACCACAGGGAGTGCTACAGCCATTTCACAAATATCACGAAGATAGAACGAGCACAAAGGAGAAGAGAGAAGGCAGTATTAGTTGAAGAAACTGCAAATGAAGGTTGGTATTATATTGTACAGACAGGAGGTGCAGTAAAAGACATACAGTGCAGTATTATATTGTATAGACAGGTGGCGCAGTATATTACAGTGCAGTATTATATTGTATAGATAGGTGGCGCAGTATAAGACATTCGGTACAGTAGTATACATTTAAGAAAGTAGTATGTTTTACAGTAATATTAATTAAATATAAATGTGCAATGTATTAGCAGTAGCCTTATAAGAGTGTAATAGATATGGATTTCCAGTACGATCAAACACATACAGTTATGTGCAGTGTAATAGCAGTAACAGTATAATAGTACAAATAATATAAATATATTACTGTTAATACACTGTATATAATAAAAACATCCTGCAAAAATGTACCCTTGCAATTATGGCATTATTAACATCAACAAGGCCAGACACCTGAACGCTGTGAAACTGGTTTATTAACCATGTTAAGGGAACAGGTGAAACCAATATATGAAGGATGAGTTTTCCCCTGCCTAAAGTTTCAAACCATTTCTTAATTCAGTGATGTGGGGAAGGGTGCAGAACCTCAATCTATTGTTTTACACTTTTTTTAGTGGTAGAGGCAGAGGATGGTGAGGCAACTCCAGTAAAAACACGGGCTCTGAGGTCTAATGCCCGTGATCTCTACACGATGGTAGGGGATTTCTACGGAGTGGACTGGATGACACTTCCGCCAGCTCCAGAGGCCATTCTGGAACTTGTGCACTGCTCATGTAAAAAAACAAATTGTGTTAAGGGTAGATGCACATGTAAACTGCATGAGCTGCCATGTACAAACCTCTGTCAGTGTGTAAACTGTGACAATAAGTCACTTGAAGATGACTAGGGCACATGTGGTTATGTAAATGCACATGTGGGGAGGGGTGTGTGTGTGTGTGTGTTGGCTACTCCAGCAGAAGTAAATCTGTACGATGTTTATGTACATTATAACTCTGCTCTGTTTGATAGCATATGTTCTTTGATAGTCTAATCTTATTTCTATTACATGCCGTTCTTCTTGAGCTCTTAGCTCTCTGGTTATAATATTGGCTGCTTGCTGACCCTTTAATGTTATGTCAGATATAACTGATAATTAAATATGTTTTATATATCAAGAGGTTCATGTTTACCTTGAGTTTTTGGCGAACGTTTGCAAAACAGTCTGAGGTAATTATCCGGGGACATACAGTGGAGCTGTAGCCTATGTGAGTTGGACTAAGTGTTACCGTTAGAATTAAGTACTTAAAACTTTACACCAAATCAAATATGTAATCGCATGATGCTAGCTACTGCTAGTTAGCCAGCTGAAACTACCCTACTTAAAAAGACACTAACGAGACGCTTACATCCATTTTAATTCCAAAATCTAAACCAAGCTAATCTCATGCATACGATCGCAAGAGATTAGCTTGGTTTAGATTTTGGAATTAAAATGAAGGATGCATTAATCTACTAGTAATGTTGTAGTTTTGGTTCAGAGCTGTGACCTAACGTTAGACATGCTAGCTACTATGTCAGTTAGCCAGCTGAAACTACCCTACTTAAAACGACACTAACGAGACGCTTACATACGTTTGAACAACACAGTGTACAAAACAAACATTTGTCATAGATATCATATTCTAATTAAATGAATACTTACAATCACAAAAACAATGTCCTTGGCGATTGTCACTGTGCTGCCGCCGCAGATGCTGTTCGTGTCTGACAGCTGAATCATCCGCGTAACAACTGTTCTAAATAAGCTACATCTGATTGGTTAATAATAATCCTATGTCAGTATCTTGCCACGCTATTGGCTCGACTGATATAGTAGGCAACCGCGTTTGCCTGCATATTTACGGTCGTGCATTATGATTTC